TCGATCAGTATGACCTGCTCCAGTTCCTCGACCGTTGATTTGGTTGCATCAGACTCCTCGGGAACGACAAAAGTTCGAGGAGTAAGGAAATCCTCTTCTTTGTCTTCGATTACCTGTTGCTCCGATTCCGTCGAGGCTGGGGCGGTGATTGCTATTTAGCCGCCTGCTTACCTTTGGTGCTCGACTTCTCCGGGGTCGAAGGCTCTGGTACCGGCGTCACTTCATCGACTGCAAATATTTCCTTTGCAGCGTGTTGCTCTCCGTAGACCGTTTTCAGACCATCCTCTGTTGGGAACTTCATCATCTAATGAAGAGTTGAAGGTACCGTCCTCACGTTATGTATCCATGGTCTCCCGAAGAGTGCATTATATCTCATGTCGCCTTCGATGACATGGAATTTGGTATCTTGTATGGTCCCGACTATGTTTACTGGTAAGATTATCTCCCCGTTTGTTATTTCGCTTGCCATGTTGAAGTTATTTAGGACCCTGGATGCAGGTACAATCTGATCCTGTAGTCCGAGCTGTTCTACGACCCTCGATCTGATTATGTTTGCTGAGCTACCCGGATCCACTAGAACACGTTTAACTTGAATTTTATTTAAAAGGATAGAAATTACAGGGCGTCATTGTGCGGCTGAGATATGCCTTCTGTTTCCTCGTAATAAAATGATAAGGCATCCTCGGGCACATAGCTCTGAGTCCGTTTTTCTCTGGTGATCGACACCTTGGTACGTTTGAACACAGGTCCTTGTGGGACATCGACACCGCCAACGATCATGTGGATTACATGTTGTGGTTCTTCCTGCTCGTTTTTCCTGCTTGCATCTCTCTCCCTGAAGTGATTCTTAGCTCGATCACTGAGAAATTCTCGAAGGTGACCCTCGTTGAACAACCGAGCTACCTACTCCCTTAGCCGCCTATGATCTTCGGTTCTATGGCCATGTGTGCCATGATACTTACACGTCAAGTTTGGATTCGGTTGAGAGGGATCAGTTTGTATGGGTCTGGGCCGTCTGGTGTCTTTGATTCTTCCAATAGCTGATATGATCCCTGATGCGTCTACACTGAAATTATACTCCAACAATCGAGGTGCCTCCGCGGGGTCGGTATGTTTATCAAATCCATTCTTACTCATGAGTCCCCGAGAGCTTTGACCTCGATCATTTCTTCGATCATTCCGAGGAGTGTTACGACCCGAGCCGTTGTTTCTCCGATCAATATACGGCTGATACCGTTCCTTGTTTGTCCTCGATTCCCTGTCTGTATCCCTCGGGGGCTTGGGTGCCAATCTATTAGGATGAACTGAACCCGGGGGAGCTCCCAACCGATCGTCCTCAACCCTGATCTTTGATTGATAACGATTATGCACGTCTGACCACGTCACATCTGGATACTCGATCAGATTCTACTTTAATTGTCGAGACGCAATCGAACTCCTTTCATTCAAACCCTGAATAAAAGCTTGTATTGCCCAGTCATCTGAGACCGGTGGTAACTCCATTTGCTCCATCTGAAACCTAGATACGTACTCCCTTAACATCTCGTCGTTCCTTTGTTTTATCTTGAAAACGTCTGATTTCCTCGTCGCCACCTTTATGGCCCCGACGTGTGCTTTCACGAAGGCGTCTGCTAACATAGCAAACGAATCAATTGAGTCACGAAGCAAGTTGTGATACCAAATCATGGCTCCTTTTGACAAAGTTTCCCTAAATTTTTTCAACAATACTGACTCGATCTCATCATCATTCAGGTCGTTTCCTTTAATCCCACAAGTATATGAGGTAATATGCTCATTAGGGTCGGTTGTCCCATTATATTTGGGTATATCGGGCATGCAAAACTTTTTAGGTATGGGAATTGGAGCCGCGCTCTAAGGGAATGGTTTTTGTATGAACTTTTTGGCATCTAAACCCTTCAAGACTGGAGGTGCCCCCGGTATTTGGTCAACACGGGAGTTATAAGTTTCCACTTTTTTGTCGTTGTCTTCAATCTTCTTTTCCCCGGACTCGATCCTCTTGGTGAGCTCTTCGAGCATTCTTATGATGGTGGGGTAAGTCCCCGAGCCATTTTCGTTCGACCTCGCCGGTTCAGCACGGCGAGTATTTTCTGGTTCGGCTATACTCGGAGTTTTATTCTGACTCTGAAGTTGAGCTATGGCAATCTGCTGAGCTTGCAGCATCTCGAATATCACTTGGAGGCTAACTCCCCCGTCTCCTATACCTTGTGTTCTTTGACCCCCAGATCGGGCTTCCCTGCGTGCACTTCCTCCGGGGTCTGCGCCTAAATCTGCATTCAAAGCAATATGCGAACTAACATCAACTAGTTCCACATTCGGCACTTCCCCAGGATTACGGTGGTACACCAACCCCTACATTATTATTTTCCCCATGAAATCCAAGACCTTCATTGTCATGAACAGGTGCATTTTGGGAGTTACATGTTTAATCCTAAGAATCAAAAATTCTTGACAAGAAAAAGTGTAAAAATAACATGTGTTATGAGAATCAGTACTGAAATAATCACTATTATCTTTAGACCCACGGTGGGCGCCAAACTGTTTACCTTGAAAATACGATTAACAATTAAATTTGATTTTTGGTTTTAAAGATATGTGATTTAGTTCAATACCAATTAATAATCAAGAAATATAAAGTATAAATGAAAGAAATGAATAAACCAAACCAGTGTTACTAAGCAGTATCGACCTCGAGCTCAGTGACCTCGAGATGAATCAAGAACAATAAAGCAAGAATAGTAAAGCTAAAGGACAATTCTGATGAACAATGAGCGAAAAAGTAGAGAGTATATTCTTTGCCAATGATTAGATGATGTTTACAAATGATTGTGGTCCCCTTTTACATAATAGGGGAACCCTAAGTAAGGTACATTTCCATTTACAGTAAAGAATCTTATTCGGACAGCTGTCTAACCGCCTAGTATGGATTTGTACAAATCTACTCCGGGATTTAGGCCATGATCTTAGGGACGTGGCGGAATCTTGCTCATTCTGTTACAAATCCATAACGGCATTATATCAGGGTTGAGCATACTCGGCTTCGGTGTTCATAGTACTTCGATCCTCGGGCATTGCACTCTGTCTTCGAGCCCGAGTCTGGACCATCGACCTCGAACTCGACCTTACCTGAGCTCGGGCTTAGGGCGACCCCTCGAGCACGGAAAATCGGGCATACTTGATTTCGGCCGTATACATTATGCATAAAGCATTTGATGATAATAACATCAATAGCATCAAAGAGAAAGTCTGTATATAGTTAAATAAGGTTTGAGCACCATGTAATTTTTTCACTGACGATATTAGAAGCGACCTCTTTTAGTCGCCACTAAAAGTAACACTAAAGGTAGTGCCATTGTCGCCTCTCCAATCAAGGGAAGCTCTTCATTAACTGAGAAACTCATTGGCTCATCTTTGACTCTAGCTAGCCTCTCATTTAACTCGCTACTTCGTGAACTTCTCAATCCCTCGTGAGTGTGGCACATAAGCGACCATCAATCAGAGACGAGATTTGGTGGCGACCCTTTCGGTCACCGCTAAAAGTAACTCTAAACGGTGCTATAGGTTGCTTCTTGGATCTCAGCGCATCAATCAGACAAGCATTAATGGCGACTCCTTTAGTCTTAAAACTGTTTGTGCGGGTGTAGTTGCCATAAAATCTGACAATAAAACATTTAGTATAACAATTTAACTAGATATAGTGTGCTAAACGAGAGATTTAAGAGGTACCTTTCCATCCTTGAGATAGTGTCGTAACCAAAAATTATGTCAAGGGTGTTTAAATTATAAAGAAATAAATCTGTATCAAAACTTTTAAATTAAAATATGAAATATTTAGCTAAACCATATTAATATTCGTAATAGAACTATAATTTTATAAATGAAAACTAATGTAAAAAGACAACAAAGAAAACTCTACTAATAACACAAGAATTCGAACCCATGAACTCTAATTTAGAACATGGTTTGCCACTGGGTTGCCTATAAGGGTATTCAAAGTATAATATATATATACACACACACACACACACTCAAGTAAAGTAATATTTAACTCTTATATATAGCATAATTTTTCGACGAAGGGTGTTCGCTCGACCACCCTCGGCACCATATAGCTACGCCACTGCCTGGAAGGTAATCTGTTGAACCTCTTATAGCCTGCCAATTTGTTATTTTCATTGTCGTTCAAAGGTTATTTTTGAGACTTAGTTTCTAGAGTCGGATAAAGCTAACAAGTTTATACATAAATTTTTACTTTGGACTATAAAAAAATAACAATGCAATATATAGGGGCGGATGCACATTTATTGGTCCAAGTCTTTAGCGAATTTTTTTCACAACAACTATATGTTTATTATTTAACATGAAAGTGCATCCGCTTTTGCAGTGTTATCATTGTTTTCTTATTATCCTTTGTGTCAACTAAATTTGCAAAAATAAACAAACACGCCACAACATAAATTTTAGGTAGTTCATGTTAAGTTGAGCCAGACAGAGGTAAGGATCAGTCGTCAATGTACGTTCTATGGTATGACATGTAGATCGGTGCACACCAACTCAGAAGCTAAGAACATTCGAGAGAGAAGAAGTAAAGAGGAAATCATTTCTTATTACTTTGTATTCTGACACAATGAGGAGCTTGCTATATAGAAGAGAAGCGCACTAACTGCCTTCTAACAACCTTCTGCTTTAGCTCCTTCTAGTTTTAACTAATTACAAACGACCCCTCACTCATTAACTGAGTTGTCCTTCTAGCTATGTTGACACTCCTCCTCAAGCTGGAGGGTGGAAGAAATTCAACACTCCTAGCATGGAGAGTAACAACTCATGTTGAGTTGTCCTCAGTCCTTCAGTCATTAAGTCTGCAAGTTGCTGTTTTGTGGCTATATACTCTGTCTTGATCAACCCTTGTTTGATTCTTTCCCTGACAAAATGGTAATCTATCTCTATATGTTTGGTTATCTTATGAAAGATTGGATTGGCAGCTATTTGTAGAGCTGCTTTGCTACACAATGTAGGTGTACAGGTTCTTCTACATTGTTGCTTAGCTCCTTTAGTAAGCATGTCATCCATATTGCTTCTGTAATAGCTGCTGCCATGCTTCTGTATTCTGCCTCTACAGAGCTTCTACTCATTGTTTGTTGTTTCTTTGACTTCCAAGATAACAATGAATCTCCCAGTTTAACCACGTAACCAGTGACAGATCTTCTTGTATTTGGGCATGCTGCCCAGTCTGAATCACAGTATACTGTGAGAGTCTTGGTTTGTCCACTGCTCAAAAGGATTCCTAGTCCAGGGCTTCCTTTGATGTATCTGACCACTCTTAATGTTGCTTCCATGTGGGACTCCTTCGGAGATTGCATAAACTGGCTCAGTACGTGGACTGCAAAGCATATGTACGACCTTGTAATTGTCAGATATAGCAGTTTACCAATTAGTTTCTGATAACTACAAGTATCTTCCAGCAGAGCATCTCCAGTATTACCAACATGCTTGTCATAGTCAATAGTGGTAAGTTTGTGATTTTGCTCCATAGGTGTTGAGACTAGCTTGCAACCACTCAACCCAACCTCTGAAATCAGCTCCAATGCATACTTTCTTTGGTTTAGGAGAATGCCTTTATCTGATCTCATCACTTCAATTCCTAAGAAGTATCTGAGCTCACCTAGATCCTTCATTTTGAAGTTCCTGTGTATGTTGCTTTTGCATCTTCAATGAGACTGTTACTACTTCCTGTTAATAGGAGATCATCAACATATACCAAAACAACTACAATGTCTTTGTTGCTTTTCTTTGTGAATAGAGAGTGATTATAACTGCTTTGCATAAAACCAGCTTGAAAAAGTGCATCTGTCAACTTTATATTCTATTCTATTGTCTTAAGGCTTGTTTCAAGCCATACAAGGATTTCAGTAGCCTGCATACTTTGGACTCCCCCTGGCTGTGAAATCCTTGTGGAAGCTGCATATAGATTTCTTCAATAGCTCACCTTGGGAAAAGGCATTATTGACGTCCACTTGAAAAAAAGCCCATCCTTTGGATGATGCAACACCAATGACTGCCTCACTATCACCATTTTTGCCACAGGTGAGAAGGTTTCATGGTAGTCAAGACCCTCTTGTTGAGTGTAGCCTTTAGCCACTAATCTTGATTTGTACCTGTCTATCTCACCATTAGCTTTATGTTTAACTTTGTAGACCCATTTAGAGCCTATAGCTTGTTTGTCAGCAGGCAAATCTACTATCTCCCAGGTGTGATTATCTTGAAGAGCCTTGATTTCCTGTTCCATTGCATGAACCCAATTCTGGTAAGTTGTAGCTTCCGTGTAGGTCTTTGTTCAATGACAACTGAGAAGGCTTTCAAGCAGGACTGATATGTTGGAGACAAATGATCATAAGTGACATGGTTGGAGATAGGATATTTGCTCTTTCCTGGCAGGTTGCCTGCAGTAATGTAGTCCTTGATCCAAATTGGAGGTCCTGCATGTCTTTGTGGTCTTGAGGCAATCACTGCTGGTGAAGAAGGTGGCTGAGAAGGTGAAGAACTAGCTGTATCAACCTGCTGAGGTAGTAAAGGACTAGTAATCTCTTCATTGTCTGGAATTGAATGCTCTTCTGCAGAGGTTGTGCTGGTATCTACTGTAGAAGGTTCATGAGGTTCAGGAGAATTTGGCTGAGGTTTTGGTGTAATGGCAGGATATGCTGGTGTATTTTGCTCACTATAAGTTGGAGTGGATAATGGTTCTAGGAATGGAGCATTTTCTGAGAGTTGTAGAAAGAGTTCCTTATCATCAAGAGAGTTGTGTTGGAAGAGAAATATATATTCATGAAACTTGACATTTCTACTGACAAAAAATATTTTTGTTTCAAGATCATATAGTCTATAACCCTTCTAGTTTCAGAATACCCAATAAACACTGCCCTTGATGCTCGAGCTGCAAACTTGTCCCTTCTGGGCAATACACTAGCCTAACATTGACACCAAAACACCCTCATACGATCTATGTTTGGTACTTTCCCATATAACACAGTATAAGGAGTCTTGCCTTCTAGGTCCTACGTAGGTAGCCTATTGATCAAGTAGACTGTTGTTCTAACACACTCATCCCAAAATTCAATAGGCATACTACTATGAAATCTTAAGGCTCTAGCTACCTCCATAATTTGTCTGTGTTTTCTCTCCACGGTCCCATTATGTTGAGGTGTATATGAACAACTGCTTTGATGAATAATGCAAAATGAGGAGAGCAATTCATTACATTTGGAATTGAAAAACTCTGTACCATTTTCACTTCCCAGAATCTTGATATTCACATCAAACTGAGTTTTTATTACAGAAATGAAATTCTTCAAAACAACATAGACTTCACACTTTGACTGTATCAAGCAGACCCATGTATACCTACTAAAGTCATCGACAATAGTAACAAAATATTGCTTTCTATCATAGGTTGGGATCTTATAAGGTCCCCAGACATCTAAGTGGATAAGATGAAATATACTAGTGGAGTTAGTAGTGCTAGTAGGGAACTGTAATCTACATTGTTTGGCTAGAGGACAAACAGTATAGTTTTCCAATTCCTTTCCACTAATATCATTTTGAAGGTAAACTATATGTTATATAGACTTTATAGAAGCATGTCCTAGTCTTAGATGCCATAGCTTGGTGCTTTCCTCCTTCTTTACAGCACAGACTGTTATTCCTGCTGCCTTTGCACATTCTCTCAACATGTAAAGACCTTTAGATTCCTTACCAATCCCCAAGACCTTGACACTCTAGAGACCTTGCAGCACACAGAAATCAGGATAGAATTCAACTGTGCAAGTGAGGTCCCTAGTGAGTTTAGCCACAAATAAGAGAATGAACTTAAAATCTGGTACATGCAGTACATCTTTTATGCATAGGTCTCCTAGGTTTACTGAATCTTCTGTATGTGTTAGCCCTGCCTTGTTACCAGTTGGCAATTGCACACCATTACTTCCTAGTTTTCCACTTGTTTTAACATTGTTTAGTACTTCTTTATTATAAGTAATATGATGAGTAGCTCCTGAGTCTACCACCCAACTACTTATAGTTGCATTGGACAACAAGGATACAATACCTGCCATATTAGTAGAACATTCACCTTCTGCAAGTTTATTCAGCAGTCCCACCAATTGCTTGTCTCGTTCTTCTGTGAGATAATGTCCTTGTGGTTGATTAGTGCTTCCAGCTGTATCATTTGCACTAGCAATGTTGGCATAGGTTCTGTGCCCACCAAATTGAGGCTTCTTCTTGCTTTTAATATCAGTTGGATATCCCACTATTTTATAGCAATTCTCTTTCAAGTGACATTTGTATCCACAATGTTCACCGATCAACCCAGTTTTCCTTGGCTTAAATCCCTAAGTCTTCCCTGCTAACATAGTCAGAGGATCTCTGTTAGTGTCTGTCACACCTAATTCCCTCTGACTCTCTTCCCGTGTAAAATGGCATATGCCTCATTTACAGACACCACTGGCCTTCTCATCAACACATTACTCTGCACATTGTTGTAGCTCTCGTTTAGCTCCATGAGGAACTGAAGCAATCGTTGCTGCTGTAAATGAATCAATGAAGGCCTAGATTCCTCACAATCACTAGAAGATTTAGGTGCCAATACATCCAATTCACTCTATAAATCTGACATCTTTGAGTAGTAAGTAGTCACTGAATCAGTGCCTTTTAGTGTGGCTATTTCAGTCCAAAGATGATAAATCCTTGTTAAGCTACACCTATCAAATTTCTCTTCAAAATCATTCCATACTTTCCTAGCATTAGATGCGAAAACTATGCTTCGCATTAGCTCACTCGCAACTGTACTTCCAATCCACAACAACACAATCGCGTTATATTTCTCTTACTATTCCGCTAATTCTCCCCTGTACATGCTCTTAACACAACTTCCGTCCACAAAACCAAGCTTACTTTTACCCCTAAGAGCTAGTTTCATTGCCCTACTCCATAGGGCATAATTTTCTGGCCCAGCCAGTTTTATAGGAATCAAAACTAGTCTTGGAGCATCGGATGCTTGTAGAATAAGTGGATGATTGTGTTCGAGTGGGGTTACCTCATTTCCTGCCATGTTGAAGAATTAGGGTTTCGTATGACTTCAATTTGCCGGAATTTCATCAGACCACACCGGAGCTTCAGTAAATCACGATTGCCACTCTAATACCATGTTAAGTTGAGCCAGACAGATGTAAGGATCAGCCATCAATGGAGGTTCTATGGTGTGACATGCAAATCAGTGCACACCAACTCAGAAGCTAAGAACATCCGAGAGAGAGAAGAAGTAAAGAGGAAATCATTTGTTATTACTCTGTATTCTGATACAAGGAGGAGCTTGCTATATAGACGAGAAGCGCACTAACTGCCTTCTAACAATCTTCTGCTTTAGCTCCTTCTAGTTTTAACTAATTACAAACTGACCCCTCATTCATTAACTGAGTTGTCCCTCTAGCTATGTTGACAGTTCACTACTTCAAACGGCAACATATAGGCGATTAAAGAGGTCGCTCGTCACTGAGACCTTATTTCATTAGTGAATCAAATATTACTAGATACGTTGGAGAAAAATATATATTTTAACGTGGCCAAACGTCAACTGCAGTGAGCATGTTGCTAAATTTTCCTTGGTTTCCTTTTTCACTTTTCATATGGTAGGAGGAAAACTTTAACTCAGGTAGCATTTCCTAATCTCTTGTGTTAAATGGACGATCATGACTTGGTTGATGCATATGTTCGTAATTAACCAATATAATTTTGACCATCTTGATTTTATAGATTCACTCTTTATTTATGAAACTTTTTTTACAGGAGTTCAAGTCATTTATTAATTCTACGTTATTATATAGATTAAGCTAAAACACTCTTTAGAAGTTACAAAAAAAAATACTCGTATTGAATAAGAAGGGAATTACGATGATTCACAGTATCACAACTTTATAAATAGAGGGTGGATCGTCAACCAAAATCACAAAATTAAAGACAACAATAATCTCATCATTAACTCAAGCATATAGAATTTCTCAAAAGCTTCATACAATTTCCTTAATCTCAGTTTTGTTCATAAAATTAAGCAGCCAATCAATTCAATCAGATATATCTTCCTTTCGACCATTATTTCTCTTAGCTGCTATTGTATTCACTATCCTTCCTTTGGTTCAAATTCAGCAATATGTTGATCCACTGGCAATACATGCAGCCATTGTTGGTTGGGCTTGATTGTGGAATCTGGTTTGTGCAGTGACCGGTGTAGAACCATGAATTCTAACAAGGATACGAGCAGCCATTGTTTGTTGTGCTTGATTGTGAAAACTGATTCGTCTAATCGGTGTAGCACCATGAATTCTAACAAGGGAATTTGAAAAACTGCAACAATAAAACACATAGTCAGACATGCGACCTAAAATAAAATAAGCTTCTCCTCTGTTAAAAGGAATGACTTGCCTCAAATTCGCATAAAGGAGGCTGCAAAAGTCATATACCAACATTGCAATCTCTGAACCCTGTGAAATTCCCTAGAATTATATATTCGGAATTGGGAAAACAAAACATATATATATATAGAAAAATAATTCGTCAAGGTTGAGAAATTGAAATTTACAGAATTCGAGATACCATCCTGTTGATTCCCTCGCTCCTTGCTTAATAGTCGCCATAATTGACTACAAAAAATAATTTGAATAATATTAACATTAAATCAGTTCCAGAAACCTTAATTCTTTTAGAATTAAAGAGAATTTATTAGTATACCCTGAATAATGCTGAGGCATTAAGAGAGATTAACAATAATGGCTAAGCCTAAACGTGAAAGAGACAGAGAAAACATAGAAATCTTTTAATTACAAAGTTCTTCTCTGTCCTTATTTTTTTTCCTCTTTTTTTTCAATACATGCTCGGGAATAATTTCTTTTAGCAATTCTCTCTCCTTCTCCCTTTTGAGAAACAGGTAAAACAGTTAAAATAACTTCCTCACCTTCCCGTCTTTCACGTTAATTCATCGTACTAAACTGTTAAAATTAAGTAAGAATACATATTAAATAGTTATGCAGTGATAATAAAAAACAACAAATTATGCACTTATTGTTACTAAATTGTATTTGTAAAATAATTCTGGAGAAGATAAAATAACATATAAACAGAAATGTAAAAAAAACAGAATTTAATCCGAGCTCAATGACTTCACAGTGTCTCCTTAAGGAACTTAATCCCCTCCTAGTACCCGAAGTTGTGGATTATTTCCTCCCAGAATAGAACGAATTACACACTGGTATAGCGGTACTTCGAACCCCAGTGTTTCAGCGAACACAATGATCGGTAGCAAATCACACTTAATGTTGCTTCTTTGTAGTTAAAACAATGCAGAAGAAAGGAGGAGAATTCGGAATTTCGTATAGAAAATCTGAGAGAATGGACTGCTATTTATACCCCCATCCTGTTGAGTTCAAACGAAGTGGGTCAGTTACGTAAAACGGCCATAACGTAAATGGCCATTTACGCAAATTAAAAGGCCAAAGAAATTACTTTTCCTTTACAAAAAACGGACGGACAGAGGAGATAATTTGAATTTAATATTAATTTTTCGTTACAAAAATGAATATTTAATAATATTACGTTAATATTTACTATTAAAAAATAAATTTGGTCCACAAAATTAAGGAATCAATCAATTGACCAAATCCGAAGCCGAAGCCGAAAACGGATATTTAATAATATTACGTTGATATTTACTATTAACAAATAAATTTGGTCCAAAAAATTAATCAATCAATTGACCAAATTCGAAGCCGAAGCCGAGCGAGCGACGACAACGGCGCGAGGCTTGCCTTCTTCTTAACTCTTTAAGAGCTAGAAGAAGAGCAATTGTATATATACCCATCAAAAGTCTTTTCCTCCTCCAAAATATGGGACAATGTCCTTTTTCAAGTAGGAAAACTCAAATATTTCATTTTCCCTCCATTTCCCATTTACCCTCTTCTAAGCTAAAATAGCTTAAAAACCCAACAATCCCCCACATGAATGGGGAATGGACGGGCAGAGGAGATAATTTTGATTTAATATTAATTTTCTGTTACAGCAACGGGTATTTAATAATATTACGTTAATATTTACTATTAACAAATAAATTTGGTCCAAAAAATTAATCAATCAATCAATTGACCAAATCCGAATTCGAAGCTGAAGCCAAAAATGGATATTTAATAATATTACGTTAATATTTACTATTAACAAATAAATTTGGTCCAAAAAATTAATCGATCAATCAATTGACCAAATCCGAGTCCGAAGCCGAAGTCGAAGTCGAGCCAAGCAAACGACGACGACGACGCGAGGCTTGCCTTCTTCTTAACTCTTTAAGAGCTAGAAAAGGAGCAAAGTATATATACCCATCAAAAGTCTTTTCCTCCTCCAATATGGGACAATGTTCCTTTGTCAAGGAGAGAAACTCAAATATTTCATTTTCCCTCAATTTCCCATTCACCCTCTTTCAAGTTCAAATAGCTTAAAAACCCAACAATCCCCCACATGAATGGGCAATAGCTATATCACAGAAATATGAATGAAAAACTGTGTGATTTGCAAGCAAGGATTAATCGCATCTGGATAAGTAGGTTCCCATTGTACTTTCTGTAGTGAACTTATGTCGGATATACTCGGTCAATCAGTAGATTTGATATCTTTAAACCGTCAAACTTTGTTGTATACTTAGATAACCATAAGTCACACAATCAACCCTTAACCGTCTTTGGTTCTCATTGTTGTGTTCGTTTCAGCCATGAACACCGCCTGGTTTCATAAGTGCGTAGAGAACTGGCCTTACAAAATTCTCCTCGAAGCGGCTAACACTTCACACTTACATAGGTGATTCCTAAACGTGTCATCCCGTAGATACGCTATTTGATATACCCCGTATCAAATTTAAAAATTATTAAAAAGCCTTAATGTTTTATCCTTGGTACTGAACATTGTCTCATCACGATAATGAACCAAAATTTTAGTTGACAATGTTGAACCGTCATTAATGACTTTGTTTGATCTCCTTGAACCTAGATCTTGGGATCTCCAGTCTTCTAGGTAGAGTTACCGTCACAATGACTTGTTCTCGGCCATAGTCCCATTCCCCTCTATGATTTCTCAACTGCATCTCTAGTTAGGCCTTTTGTAAGTAGATCCCATACATTATCACTTGAATTTACGTAGTCAATCGTGATAATTCCTTTAGAGAGTAATTGCCTAACGGTTTTATGTCTTCATCGTATATGACGAGATTTACCGTTATACATAACGCTCCCAGCCATTCCAATTGTCTCTTGACTATCGCAATGTATGCATATTGGTACCAATGGTTTGGGCCAAAATGGAATGTCTTCCAAGAATCTCCGGAGCCATTCAGCTTCTTCACCGGCTTTATCTAAGGCTATGAACTCAGTCTCCATTGTAGAGCGGGCAATACAAGTTTGTTTGGACAACTTCTAAGATACCGCTCCTCTACCAATAGTGAATACATATCCACTTGTGGACTTAGAACAAGTTGAACCGGTGATCTAATTTGCATCACAGTATCCCTCAATCACCACAAGATATCTACTGTGGTGCAAAGCACAGTCCTGTGTATGTTTTAAATATCCCAAAACTCACTTCATTGCCATCCAACTGGATTACTCGTGTATCGACTCAATTTACTTAAAGCACAAGTTATATCTGGTCGTGTACAGTTCATGATATACATTAAACATCCCAACACACGAGCATAATCCAATTGTGATATGCTTTGGCCTTTGTTCTTTGCTAGTGCAAGATTCACGTCAATTGGAATCTTTGCAACTTTAAAATCTAAGTGCTTGAATTTTTCAAGTACTGTCTTAATATAATGAGATTGTGACAATGCCAGACCTTGAGGAGTCTTATGGATCTTAATACTTAGAATTAGATCAGCAACTCCCAAGTCCTTCATATCAAACTTGCTAGTTAGCATACCCTTAGTCGCATTTATGTAGGCAATGTCATTACTCATTATCAGCATATCATCCACATATAAACAAACGATGACTATGTCATTTGGAACATTTTTATTGTACACACATTTATCACATTCATTTATCTTAAAACCATTTGACAACATTGTTTGGTCAAATTTCGCATGCCATTGTTTGGGTGCTTGTTTTAGTTCATAAAGGGACTTAACAAGTCTACATACCTTCTTTTCTTTACCTAGAACCACAAACCCTTCAGGTTTTTCTATGTAGATTTCTTCCTCCAAATCTCCATTTAAGAACGTCGTCTTAACGTCCATTTGATGAATTTCAAGACCATAAACTGCAGCTAATGTTACTAACATTCATATGGACTTAATTCTTATAACTGGAGAGTATGTATCAAAATAGTCAAGACCTTCTCGTTATCTATACTCTTTGACCACGAGTCTTGCCTTATATTTAACAATAGTGCCATCATCTTTCATTTTTCTCTTAAAAATCTATTTAGAACCTAATGGTTTATTTCCAGGAGGAAGATCAACCAATTCCCATGTATGGTTGTTCAATATAGATTCTATTTCACTATTGACTGCTTCTTTCCAAAATAATGATTCCAAAGAAGACATATCTTTTTAAAATGTTCGAGACCCATTTTCCAATAAGAAAGTCACAAAATCTGGTCTAAATGAAGTATACGCTCTTTGACGTTTACTATGTCTTGGATCCTCCTCATTAAATGTACTTTCTTTTGTTTCTTCTCGAGGTCCTTTAGATCCTTCACCAATAGACTCACATTCCTTTTATACGGATATATATTTTCATAGAACTCAGCATTATCTGATTCTATAATCGTATTATTATGAATGTCGGGATTTTCTTATTTATGAAGCAGAAATGGATATGCTTTACTATTGGTCGCATATCCTATGAAAACACAATCAACGGTTTTCGGTCCTATTTTTATCCTTTTGGATTTAGGAACTTGCACTTTTTCCAAACACCTCCACACTTTGAAATAATTCAAGTTGGGCTTCCTTCCTTTCCATTTTTTATATGGAATCGATTGCGTTTTGCTATGGGGTACTCGATTTAGTATCCGGTTAGCCATAAGAATGGCTTCCCTCCTACAAGTTCCGTAGCAAACTAGAACTTATCAACAATGCATTCATCATCTCCTTTAATAAACGATTCTTTCTTTCCACAATCCCATTGGATTGGGGCGTGTAAGGGGCCATTGTTTGATGAATAATTCCATATTCCAAACATATTCCTTCAAAAGGAGATTCATTATTCACCACCCCTATCACTTCTTATCATTTTGATTTTCTTGTTAAGTTGCGTTTCAACTTCATTTTTGTATTGCTTGAATGCGTCTATTACTTCATCTTTACTATTAAGTAAGTAAACATAGCAATATCGAGTATTGTCGTCAATAAAAGTTATGAAATACTTCTTTCCACCCCGAGATGGTATTGAATTCATGTCGCAAATATCTGTGTGAATTAAGTCTAAAGGATTTGAATTCCTTTCAACTGACTTATAAGGATGTTTAACATACTTAGATTCCACACATATTTGACATTTTGATTTATCGCATTCAAACTTAGACAATACTTCCAAATTAATCATTTTTTCCAAGGTTTTATAATTGACATGTCCCAAACATATATGCCATAATTCATTTGACTCAAGTAAGTAAGAAGAAGCTTAAGTTTTATTATTCTCAATGACCATTACACTTAGTTTGAAAAGGTCCTCAGTGAGGTAACCTTTTCCTACAAACATCTCATGCTTACTTATTACAACCTTATCAGATACAAAAACACACTTAAACTCGTTCTTAACGAGTAGTCCAGCAGAGACTAAGTTCTTCCTAATCTCGAGAACATGAAGGACGTTGTTCAGAGTCACCACCTTGCCAGAAGTCATTTTCAGAAATAT